GAAGGTTGTTGACGCCCAAAGCTGCGCAAGTCGATTTAAATACTGAACACAGTTCGCCGTGATGATATCATCACGGCCATCAGTTTACGGTACGGAAGATGTATAAAGCCGCGCAGCGGACCGGACTCGTTCTGCCATGCGCATGCAATGGCCCTAAAGCACAAGTGATATATCCTCCTCCCGCTCCACTACCTTCTTCTAGAACAGACACTGCCAGAAATTGGGGGTTTGTACCCGTATGTTGCAGTGATTCCCATGACAGCGACACGTCTTCTCGCCTTTTCACCACCTCTGGTCGCCTACCTTAAGTATGCTCTCCGACGTGGCTGAACACCACTGGCATCTACTGGGGTGCTCAAACGGACGGAAACCCACCGCAACTACCGGTGGAGGGTGACTGCCGATATAGCAATAACAATGCACTCACAGAAAGCAGACTATCACTCGTACCTCAAAACTGGGATTCGCTCCCTGACACGGCGAGCCATATCTAGAGATGCCTTCATCCGTTCCGAATTCCAAATTCCGATTTCTGATAAAGAGCTAATATCAATGCTAATATCCTTCAACTTCAAGTTGAAGTCAAGGCGCATTCATCGAATTTTGAACCTCGAAACTTTGGATATAGTCGGTAATTCAGTGAGGATGCGGGACGAAATTGAGAAGCGATTTGATCATTTTGGTGGGATGGGCTCCATCCTCAGATTCGTCGCTACCTCTTCCCAGGGCAAGCCCTGTGCGTACCTGGATCTCAACGTGCATGGGTGGATGAGGCTACCAGGGAGGGTATAATCACCGGTAGTGTGTGGAACACGCACCAATACAATACACCTGTCGCTGATTTCGCTGATTTCGCTGTATTCAGTACAACGGTGAGACGGGGTTCGATTCCCTGCCGGTGCGTGCTTCGGTTTTCTCGCCTGTTTTTTGTTTTTTGCCATACCCAAGTAGGAGAGTTGTGTCCATTTCCCAGAAATCCGGTCCAGTGAGACGTTAGAAAGAAGTCTCCGTATTCGAGTGCAAGAGGCATCTCGCTGTTTGAACTGGTTCAAATTCGATTTTCAATGCCTCGTACAGCAAGCGACCCCATGTTCATAAAAGGGATGCGTGTTTGCATGAGGGGTTCTGTAGCAGGGTACAAGCACCGTTGTGTATGGAACACGCACCAATGAGATATATGAGGGTTTCGTGGTTTCGTTGTAGAATGGTGAAACGGGGTTCGATTCCCCGCTGGTGCATGGTCTCTGAATCTCTTCTACATTTTTTCTTTCTTTTCCCTGGATGTCTTCATTTTTCCCAATAGTTACCAAGGGAGCGATATGTGTCCATGGACTCGAGAATACCGAAGCGGTGACGAAGCTGGTCGCATTGGTTGCAGGGCGATTTGTCATTCGATTTTTGTAGGACAGGATGCGTTCAAACTTTCTGACTAGGCGACCGTTGCGCATAAGGGAGCTGAACGGCCACGTGCCTATGAGGTCTGAAAGGAATGGTACAAGCACCGGTGATGTATGGAACACGCACCAATATAATTGTTGCGGATCGGTGTCCAGTACAAATGGTGAGAAGGGCTCGATTCCCCGCCGGTGCGTGCGATGGGGGCAACTCCTTTTATATATATATATCTCGGCTTTCCCGAATCGCGAGATTGTGTCGTTTGAACCGGTGGATTTCCGAGTCCAGTATGTAGGAGAGACTCCACTCTAAAAAACCACCATGCCATGGACGGGACGTCCCGAGGTAACAGTCAACTGCGAGGAGGGTACCAGCATCGGTAGTGAATGGAACACGCACCAACACATTACAGTTGTGATCGTATGTCTACAACGGTGAGATAGGAGTCTGACTCCCCGCCGGTGCCTTCCTCGGCAACCTCCGATTTTTTTCTCTTAGCACTATCGGAAGCCCTGTGTGACGGTTTCGAGTAAGTAAGCTATAAGCACCGGTGGTGTACGGATTACACGCACCAGCACGATAGACGAGCAAATGTACTTACGACGGTGATAAGGGGTTCGATTCCCCGCTGGTGCGTACGAGCGAGACGATCCGACGATGTTTTTTTTTTCCTGCTGGATTTTGTGTCTGCCAGAGGGTGCGCCAGAAGCGTTGGAAAAATTGGATGTATGTCGCCGTTCTGGTATTGCGACTTGCGACTTGAACCCCGTACACGTTGACGGCCAACTTCAATGTAAGTCGATTCGGGCTCAATGACATGCACCGCGAGCTCCCGACCGCGAGGAGAGCAGAATGTGCATGTGCCTATGAGGTCTGGAAGTAAGGGTAGCAGCACCGGTGGTGTATGAAACACGCACCAATATAATTATCCCTATATGCCTCAATGTTCAATGGTGAGACGGGGTTCGATTCCCCCCGGTGCGTACGAGCGAGATGATTTGACGATTTTTTTCTTTCTTCCTGCTGAATTTTGGCTTGACGCGCCTGGAGGATACCCAAAGACGATAGTGTATAGATCGGCTCCAAAATCTGTATTATTGGGAAGCGACGAGAAAGCGGAAGACAGGTGTGGTATTAGCGTAGTAGGGATGGATAGATACGAATCGGCACAAACAAGAGAAGCCCAGAGAAAAGCATCTATAGAGTTAGAATTCGCGCAGAGACACTGCGCTGGAATATGGCAAGCCGACAGATCTGGACTCCATTTGAACGGTGCAAGTGCTCCGCGACACCGGTGCCAGAAAAGCTGCGTCCGCCCCAAAACACGCAACGCACATGCCTCGCGCGCGGGCTCGTACATTGACCTGCACCTCCGACCCTAGGCAACCCGCGCGTACACCCCCTCCACTGCTCTCATCAGCCAGCGCCACGCGCTACTGGTACTATTCCCCAGCGCGCACCCACACGCAGTACCTTCCCTAGACGCGGTGTCTCGCACCGTCGCGCCGCCGCGTGGACGCCATGCTCGCACTGCCGCATCGCCGCACCACTTTGTCCTCGGTAGCGCTTACCCCTCAAGCAGGCTCGCCTCGTACACGCAAGCAAAGGAGCCGGGGGCAAGCAGACGGCATCGACGGCTTGAGGGGAATGACGAGGGATACCCCAAGCCGATGGTAGATGAAGGTGGGGACGGAGCGGCTAGTACGGGCCAGCGACAGCACAGTCCTCTGGCAGGATCGAAAAAGCGTGGAGAATTTGACGCAGCTCGCCGCGAGACGCAGCGGCAGCGAGAGAATATCCACAGACTTCTCCGTTGGGGCTCAGGGCGACGGGGAACAGGCGTCTGGAGTCTAGTGCTCTATATAGGCACAGCGCGGCCTCAATGCGCTCCCTCGGACTCTGAAGTCTGCACTGAACGACGGCAGCGCGGAGGCCGACGACCGCCGCGTCATCCGCTTCTTTCGAGCGGCGAGCAACGGCGCGAGCACGCGCGGCCATGGCGGTCAGCATCCCGCGTTGCGTGAGCGCATGGGATGCGGCGAGCGGGCGGGCGGCGCACTGGCACAGCCGTGTCGACTCGTCTTGCGCGCTCGACAGGATCGAATATCGGAGGACATTTTTTTCCTTGGCTTGCCCAGACGTCTCTGTCCTGGCGAGGATTCGCCGAGCCACGAGTCAGGCAGACATCCACGCCGGAGCGTTCACTTGTGAGTCTTGACGGTGTTGGAGACTGGAGAGTAGTCTATGCCCTTGACGGCGACGAAGGGCTGGAGGGCTTTAGCCATCGGAGGTCCGGGTGTGGGAGCTCGAGGATTCAAAGTGAGGAGGAGCCTCAGGAGGAGGTCTGGTTTGGGTCTGGTCATCAGCAACGCTCAAGGTCACGAGCGGGGCAAATAATGCACAATAACGCGTCAAACTTCGAAATTTACGGACGCTGAAATAAAGGGTATGAGCACCTGTGGTGTATGGAACACACACCAGTACTATGGTGTACCTGGGACTGGACGATTAAGAAGATGAGAAGGCGTTCGATTCCCCCCTGGTGCATCCATCAGTCGGAAACATGATTTTTTGTTTGGGTTCGCTTTTCTTCTCTTCTCTATTCTTCCATATATTCACTGTCTCTTCTTCTCTCTTTACCGCACCCCAACCGGAGAATTGTGTCCGTAACCCAAGGGACCGACCATATACAAGCCATTTCTCGTGGACTATCCTCGGGAGAAATGAGTTCAAACTCGACAAATTGCATTCTCGAATTGCTGCGCTTGTCGGTTTTCCACTTGTCAAGAGTTTAGAGTGTGCATAGCCTGTGGAGGAAGGGTATGCGCACCGGTTGTGTATGGGACACGCACCAATAACATGAAGAAGGCTCTGAATCCCACTACGATGGTGAGACGGGGTTCGACTCCCCGCCGGTGCATGAGCAGCACGCTCCTACCCTTTTTCTGATACTTATCAGGGGGACGAGAAGAGTCCGCATTCTTCGAACGGTTGAAGGGCAATTAGCGCCAGTTGCATGGAGCGCATACTGGTGGCCCGAGTCCCGACGAGGTAAAAGTTGCGCATATCATGAGGAGAGGGGAGAATGTACTGCAACTCTAGAGATGTAACCTGATCTCAAATGCGAGAACAGATTCATCGGAGTGTACGATTCCCCGCCGGCGCATTGGACAATGTCTCTGATGGTCTTCCGCTTTTTTGGTATCGTGGCAACCCGGAGAGTAGTACATTCCACGGGTATAAAAGGGTTCGGGAGGAAGGGTATCAGCATCGGTTGTGTGTGGAACACGCACCAACATGATAGGTCCTCGGCGCGACTACAGTTCTACGGTGAGACGGGGTTCAATTCCCCCCGGTGCGTATGGTGGACGGCGCTTCTTTTTGTCCCATTTCTTTGCCGCGTACCCAACCAGACGAATTAGGTCTTTACTCGAAGGGTCGAACAGGAGGAGATGGGCCAATACGCACTAATTGGATTCGTCAGATAAAAGCTCAACTTTGATGCCATTCCTGAATTCGAAATCGAATCACTACATGGACAGTAAGTTCTTACTGGATATGTATTTTATGGAGACACAGGGGATGGCTGTACTGGGCTGGTATAAGCACCAGTAGTGTGTGGCACACCCACCGACATAGTTCCTCTCGACGCAGTGCCATGGTGAGACGGGGTTCGATTCCCCGCTGGTGCATGGTACGGGGAAGACGAGACGTCTCAGGATGATATTAAATCGGCATTGAAAGGGCAGCCGATCAGTCAGTGGAAAGACGTGCGCAGTGAGATTTTCTTTTCCTGCTTCTGTTTTCCTAAATTCTAGAATCTCTACGCCAGGAGGAATGATCACTGGAAGGGCATGAGCATTGGTGGTGCATGGAACACGTACAGATAAAATTCAGCCTTGAGCTTTCTCAGTGAGCCGGGATTCAATTCCCCGCCAGTGCATGTTCAAGTTGGAATGCTTTGCTTTTTTTCTTTAGCTTTGCGGGATTAGATTGGCATCTGAGAAGGGACAATTGTTTTATTCTCTTCCTTCTCTTCCCTTCCCTTCTCTTTACCAGACCCCAACCAGTAAATCGTGGCAGTCACGCAAGGGTTGGAAGGGGAACGAACACAAACCTGTCTTACTATCGCAATGAACAACTTCGATTTTTGTTTAGAGTTCGGTGACCAATTTTAGATCTGACAATTACTCCCAGCCATGGTCAGCATCATCCTCCTGCCCTAAAAATAGTGTCGTGAGGAAAAATGAGGAGCAAAGACGTTTAGTGCATACCTGGAACTTCTATCACGCGCAATAAACCGCGCTGTTGGAGCGATGGTAACGCATCCCGCAGCTCCTTCGTCCATTGACATAACAATTCTGAACCGGCCCCCCTCACCCTGGCTTCGACCGCCGTCAAAGAGTGAACTTGAAGACAGGCCACAGTCGATTCAATAGTGGCGTTGAGATCAATATCCCGCGATACGGGCAGCTCTGCACCGTGTCCTTCGAAAACGATATGCTCCACGCGCGAATCACGCGGACAGACTTGGAAGAAGGGGCCCAGCAAGCCCAGGACGGAAGGAGAGACCAAGCGGACGGTGCGTAAATTCAAGTCGAGAATCTCCTCGAATTCGCTCGCTAGCAAGACTTGGGTCAGATGCAATGCGTGATGTAGATATGGGAAGCAAGGACTCACAGCTGGGATAGTAGTGTGTTACCCACAAGCGCAGGTGTTCCAAGCTACCGGATCCCGCTCTCACTGCTGGCAGTAGCCTTTTCATCGACGTCAAGCCCGTTCTCAGGGTGAGGGAGCTCACGCGGGTTAGACCGATCTGGGGATTGGCCATGTAGGGACAGAATTTGTTGGTACGCATGTCGGAAACGAGGAGGGACCGAAGCTGTGGGCGCCACCGTCGCGATTCCGGCCACGACCCCAGACTTTCCATTCTGCTGGGGAAGTAAATTCGCGACAACAACATCTCTTTTAGCGATGTCGCCTCGCTGAACAGCGATAACAGGTCGCGGGGAGAATCTACCACGACGCCGCGCAGGTGGACCGCTTCAAGTTTCGGAGACGAAAACACGTCCATGAGCGCGGATTTGAGTTTTGGTTGAAGCCTGAGCCAGTTCAAGCTGGAGTCTCCGCGTGTGAGTATAATCATCCGCGCGTTCTCCGTGAGGGAGATCCGCTTCAGATCGAGGAGCGGGAGGATGAGCGATAGCGTCGCGCTATCCATGACCCACGTGGCGCGGCGCCTCTGGGAATAGTCTCTTTCTTCAGGGTACGACTTGGGCCCCACCAACACGATATACAGTTCTTCCACGAGGGGTGCGATATGCGGGGACGAGATGAGAAGCTGGTAGAACGTTTCGCATGGATTACACGAGGAGCGAGGCGGTAGAATCTCGATTCTCCTGAATATGTGGTGCCTGGCCGGGGAAGCGAAAGTGCGTGCTGCAAGAGAACACGACTTGAGACCCGGAATGTCCTTGTCCTCGTAGATTTTGTCCACGATAACGTCCACGAGCTCCTGGGGAAGACAAGAGAACATTTCCACGAGATTCCGGGGTGTGTTGGATGAGGGTTTGGCCTAGCTTGGAACTAGTAGTCAAATTCGAGGAAGCAAGCAACCAAAAATCCACTTGAAATCCACGGAAGTAAAACGGAAAGACTCGGAGTCAGCTATTATGACTCAGCTATTACCTCCGATCGAAACCAGACCAACTTAGCTCCGTCTCTCGAGAATGACAGAAAGGTAGAGCTCTGCGTTGTACAACTCTCGACAAAGTGATACAATCTAGATTTGTATACTCCGTCCTGGCGAGGTCCTCTCCTCTCGTTCTCATCGCCTGAGTCTGATCCCCGTAGCCCCACGGCCCATCCCATTCACACATACTCGCCCCACCCACGTCCGTCCGAAACAATGCGTTGCAGCGTGGAATGTCCAGCGCTTCGTAAAGATGTCGCCGGGCAGGTCAAAAGACCATGCACTCCGGAAATTGCAGGGGGAACCGGCGTTCTAAAAAAAAACCTTAGGCCGATTTTCTTTTTTCCGACCTTGGACCTGGCGGCGGGACTACCTACCTAACGTAAGCATTCCCACGCTCCATATATAGTAATTTCCCACATGTTCGAGTTGCCGGAGGTTTAAGTTACCTACGAGCTGCCACAGATACCTTCGGGCACATAACATCCAACTCTCAGCACCGAAAATGCATGGAGAAGTTCAATTTGCTCCGAAATTTCGTGCGACCGATGTTGGAACCCATGACAAACACGACCATATTTCAACCGCTTTAGGAACCAAATTGACGCCCTCAGTCTGCCCACCCGGAGAATGACTTCAGGCTGGGTTCGAGGGCTCAGAAATGCTTCATTTGCTCACCAGGACCATATTTTGCTTATATGTTGGGGGGTCGAAAACAATTTTTTCCGGCCTGACGGCCGGACTACCTACCCGGCTCTTAGTCGCCGGTTTGAATGCCGGTTCCCCCTTGGGCCCCTGAAGATGTATCTTAAATGTTCAGTATCGGTAACAGTATTAGTACCACAAGAACTGTACCTGAAATGGAGAGTTTCTGGCCGCCTGAGGAGGTTTCTGAAATGATTAGTTTTGGTATCAGTATCCGGTAATCCGAAACTTACCGTTTCGGGCGCCGTTTCCGTTCTCCAGAAACTGCTCCTGAAACTTTAAGTTTCAGGAGCAGTTTATTGTCCACCAAAGACAATAGTGTCGGTCACAATCTCGGATGTTACCGAAACTATTGTTTTTCGGACTCCCGAAACCGGACGGCCCGGCCGGCCCGGCGCACTGAAAACAATAGTTTCGGCAACATCCGAAACTGCTCCTGAAACTATTGTCTTTGGTGGACAATAAACTGCTCCTGAAACTCAAAGTTTCAGGAGCAGTTTCTGGTGAGTCGAATTTGCACCTGATATGGAACATTTTGGGTAGTCAGATACCAATCCCGAAATTCCCCGTTTCAGTAACCCTTTCAGTGCCACAGATTTGCAACATTTCTGGTACAAATTCAGCCCTACTTATACTGCCGCTGATACTAAACGATTTAGATTCATCTTTGGGGACCCCAAGATTTCCCTTTTTCCGGAGTGATGCTCGATCTTGAACGCATGGAACGCCTCGATCACAGTCCAAACCCAGCGCATCTGAAGTGTGTACATGTCTGTGTCGAGATGGTCGCCGCCAACGTCAGGGACGGGGTGAATGTGCTGGATTACGTCGGGAGTGCCATCTGGGATCAAGAAGTCGTGGTGTCGCGGTCCAAGGTCGTCTCGCCAAAGAGTAGCGCGGGGACGAGGCTTTCTGGGTCGCAGTCTGACGTTATGCCGAGGGGAGGTGCTTCGAGTGAAGAGTGACACTTTTCACCTCCCGGTACACGCCGATAGGAGTGCAAAACGAGCAAGGGGCATCGAAACGTGTTCTGGGGGTCGATGCCGGTGAGCGCGAGATATGTCTTGATATCGACCAAAGACGCGGGGATTTCGCAGGTAACGGAGCCGAGCTTTGAGACAATGGCGTCGACATCCACGATCGGAGGCCGTGTCGCTCTCGCCGCCTCGCAGTGGCAACAAACCTATCCCGCGCCGCGGGAAGGATTTCCCCGCAACGTGCGCGAGCCTCTCAAAGATGCTGGAATAAGGACACTGAAAGCCTATCCCCCGCAATCTGCATCGCGTACGCCTCCGCGACCACGATCTCCCCGTCGGGCAGGCAATGAGCCACGCACGAGCACGGGCAAGACCTTGCCCGCGCCGATCTGCGTGCGTACACATCGTCGATGCTGCCCTGCTTGCTTATACGACAAGAAACACGAATTTGCGGCGGTGGGAGGGCCGTGTACGTCGATCCCCACCCTTCTCCGCAGTCTCGCCCAAGCTCGAGATCTGACGCATACGTCAGCTTGAGCATGCAAAGAGGACGGAGGAGCGCCAGCCTCACCTTGCCATCGCACCCTGTCTGTGCCCTCCATTCCGTAATTCTGACATTCCAGCGGGAGGACACGCGCGCACGCCACCTCGAGATCCGAGCGAAGGCCGGAGTAAGTATAACCCTAAGACGGGTGCACGGCGCACGGCGCGAGAGCAGCAACGCGGCTGCGCATGCGGAGCGGGCAGACCGGTCACCGCGTACTTTCGCGGTGTGCGCAGGCAAAGAGGCGACGAGGAGACGCAGGGGCACGTAGACGGCGTCGAGGGCTCGACGGAGCCTGACGTGGTCTAGGACAAACTGCAAGTGCGCAAACGGCAGGCTGGAGCTTAACGTGCAGCGAACGTGGCGAGCGGCGGATGGCGGGCAGCGAAGGCGCGGCGTCGATCCACGCGTCAAGCGAGCGCGGGCACGCCGCGGGAAATGCGGGAGCAGTGGCGGGAAAGATTTTCTGGAGTTAAGACGCGAAGGACGTTCGAGATCGCCGGCGGGTTGCGCAGGTGGTCACTCGAGGAGCGGCGCCTTAGCAGGCAGAGTTGCGATACCCTAACGGCACGGCAATGAGGACCGCACCGCGCCCAGATGCGTCTTGGATGTCATGAGTCGGGCGGGGCGGCTTGATGTAGCGCTCGATATGCCGCTCGATTGATACCTAGAGAACGTAGATGGAGGGGAAGAGGGGAACGTCGAGGATCGCAAGAGAGAGGGAGAGGGCCAAAAGTTGGGAGTATGTCGATGCACGGCTCGCCCGAGCTCGAA